TGACAATTTTGACAAGAAGGATTTGCGGTAGCGCCGGTTCAAATCGTAGATTGAGGAGGAAGTCGGCATGTGTTTCCGTGTACGAAGGTAGTCGTCCGAATATGGCGGATATTTCTACGTGCGCAGCCCGGCCTTGGAGGTGCCTCGTCGAGAGAAGCCATCTGGTGGCGCCCCCACGAACTTTGTGTCCAGGCAGCTCTTACCTTCCGATAGGCCTTACAGATGATTCCAATACAAGTCCTAGCGACATTCTCCACGTGGATAGTCGCTCCTGCCGTCGTCACGGTCCGACCACACACATGATTCCACACACATGATTGTTAGCGTCAGGATGCCCATTAACAAGATGGACCTCTCCCTTAATAATCCGCTAACCACTTGCCGACCCGTTAAATACCCCTTATTGAGCTGTTGTGTTTTCGGCACGAACTGTATTTAAAAAATATTGGCAAATTTGATGTGGGGTGCCAAGTCAAGTTCAAGTCCAATTCTTCAAGAATTCCTCGTGGCGATTGGTGCTGTGATTCCGGGTCTTTCTTCTTTAGAGGAGATGAGTGAGTCGCAACAGGATCTCGTGGACCTTTATGGCAAAATGAGAGAGGTTGTGTCGTCGGAATATGGAGAGGATCAAGTCATGCGTGTGGCCCTATCATGGAAAGGGAACCCATGGGAAGACTCGGTTCAAACGAATTGGTTGAAGGAAGTGATCGATCCCCCAGAGGCCATATTGAAGAATCTTGATATGAGGGATGATTATCGTGAGTGGGATTTAGAATCGAGTCAAATTCGAGCACTTATGGATCTGTGGCTGCCGTGGGTGCCGTTTCATGTAGGAGTGGAGAACTTCATACGCATGACTCAAGCAGTCGAAGGGTCAACAACACGAACAAGCGCTGATGTTCAGTTGGATGATGGCACGATCGTGTCTGTCAAGCCTTACAAACACGTTGAGCACCCGTGGTGGAGGGATGATGCTAAGTCACTGGCTTGGAGGGTCACGACCCCCAACAATATACAGTACCACTCAAGCTCGCGGCTAAGTCGGTTCACTGAGAACGATGAACATGACGAGACGAATGATGACAGTCGTCATATGCGAACGTCTGTATGCCTGGATGAGGTGGAATGGCTGCACTCCATTTTGGGCTCATACAGGTACGAGCAGTTCGCAAACCGGTTCCTGCGCCTCATCATCGACCACGGATGTTCGGGGTTCTTCACCGACGGTCACGCATTCAATCTTGTTCAAGGTAGCCAAGGTCTCCAATGGCAGACGGACATCTGGATCCAGGAGGGTGACGCACAATGGCCGGGACGCATGCAACGGGATGCTCTTGACGTTCTTAGGACCGCCTTCAACGGCGGCCCACTGTAGCATCACATGGTCCGAGTTTTATCAACGCGTTATCTTCATCTCGCTCGAACCTACTCATCTCGAACTTGCTCGTGTTTGCTATCGTGGCGGATAAAGGAAAGGGTTCCAGAGATGGACAGACACGGCACAGGGGGGGGACAAGATAAATTTGGTGTAACTCGGTACGGTCGAGCTACCGGTGCCCTCGGGGACCGGGATGAGACCCAATGGAGATAGCACGTGCGGAAGGGACGGCTCGCGTAAGAAGGCACCGAGTCGCATGGTCTATTCCCACCAGGGCATTCACGCCGCTTACGTAGACGGGGCCGACGTGGACCAGGGCTAACGCGGTTGAGACTTGGAGCAGCCCACCATTGTAGAATGCCCCGCACTTGCCAACTCCCAGATGGTCCATAGTGGAGTGTGGTTGCTGCCCGTACCCTGCTTATTTGTCGATATGTTCGTCATCTCGCCATCCTCCGGCATCTCGCCATCCTCCGGCTATGTGGACAAGTTCTCTAAATAAAAGCTCGATAGTGAAGTTATAATTTACTCAGCGGGAGTGCGAGTGCCCACCTGAGGACTTTTCCGGTGGACTCGCTCGAACAACGGAGCGGTCGTAGTTGATAGCGAGGGAAGAAGGCACAGGTAGGTATCTGCCCAGGAAACCCTTTTCGGTGCTCCTATGATCCGACTTTGACGAAGGGTTGCCACCCTTCCAAGGACGTGTATGTGCCGTTTGAAGGTGAAGGGCCCACGAAGGCAGCACGGCTAAGCTGACCAGACGGTAGCCATGATGGCACTCGGGAGACAGCCAGGTACACACCCTTCTGGGCTGTCACAGATTCGAACAGTTCCCGACCCGCCCCCTACTCGTGGACTTCGGATGTTGCGGGGTCTTTCGCGACGGACGCGCTTTCAAACCCGTCCAAAACAACGAGGGCCTCCAATGGCGGGTGGGTGGGGTTGACATGACCGGTTCCGGTACCAGCCGTGCCCGGCACCGCCCAGGCGCCGGTGCGGCACCACCCAGCCGGAAAGGCACCGACTGGAAAGGCACCCGCTGCACCAGTGCGAAAAACGATGAGTGTAGTCGCACACACAGAACTTAGACGAATACTTAAATGAACCATCTAACTCCGGCCTTATTTCTATTCCAAAAACGGATTTTTTTGGACAATTTTTGGGGGCATTATTATGAGGTGCGTCACTGGAGAGTCAAGGTACATTCCGGGAGTTGTTGGAGCGCTTGTGGCGATGGGTGACACCCTTTCCGATGTGGCTGGCCACCCGCCCGGTGTGATGGATGAGGAACTCCAGCAGGAACTGTTACAAAGATGTTCGGGAATGAAGAAGGAGATACTGGCGAGAGTGAAGAATGCGAAGTTGGAACCTGCGGAACTGGAGTTTATGACGCTGGCATGGCTGGCTACCCCGTGGGAAGATTCCCGATTTGACGATTGGTTGAACGAAACGTTGGGGTTGACGCCGATGGCGAAATCCTCTAGCAATTCTCCTGCCGCGACCGAGACAACGAACTATTTGGTAGTGTGGGTGCCGCCGGTGAGGGAGAGCGCAGTGAACGTCGTGCATATGGTGGGAACATTTTATGTTGGACTACAAGAAGCCAGCGCGCAGGTTCAGTTGGCGGATGGCACGATCGTGACTGTCAGGCCCTATAACTGGATTAAGCACCGGAGGTGGAGAAATGACAGGAAGTTGGCTTGGCGGGTGACCGCCCCCAACGGCACTCAGTACCATTCGAGCGCCCGGTCGAAACCAACCAAGCCTTGGGAGCTGCCACCCTCGGTCGAAGACGGATACTACACTCTACTAGGCATAAATGTCCACAGGCATAAGCGGCTGTTGCGCATTCTGGGCCCGTCCAGATACAAGGAATTTGTGGACCGCTTCCTGCGCCTGTGCGTCGACTACGGAAGATGTTCAGGGGTCTTAGATGACGGACGCCCCTTCCGCCTTGTCCAAAGCAGCGGAGACCGCTACCTCTGGCAAATAGCCGGGTTAGTCATAGATCCGGCAGTGGGCGAGAATTCCCTCGACCGCCTCTTCGGAGCAATGCCAACCGAACAAGACAGACGCAGTATTTGCAGAGTTCTCTCCTGCAGTTCTTGACCATGGACCTGTGGGGTTATTAACCCCACACACAAATGTCATCTAATGCCACGAGCTCACCTCCCGAACTCTCGCAGAGAAAAGAGTTATCAGGGAGGCAGCTTCTCACCAGCGGGAGACCATGCTATTAGGGAGGGTACCTGCTTTTAGAACTTTGTGCACCAGGAGACTGACTGACTCAGATTCGCTGGGTGGTGTGTGCTGGGGGACGGCCTGCTAACGTTGAGCTCATCATCCGAATCACAGAACGGGGCATCGTGTCCGTGTCGTGTCGCCACGTTACCCTCTCTCTCTTAATACTGAATTGCCAGCCCGTAATTGAGCTGCTGTGTCTCGTTATGCTGTGTCTCGTTACTGGGGTATACGGGTCGTTTCACCGTCGTTTCCTATTCTCTAATTGTACAACAACTTTATGCTCCGCGTGTCGAGTTCGCCTTGCTGCCTAGGCGGCATCCAGCAATCCAGAATCGTTCATTTGTAACCATCCTAAGGTCCATGGCTGGACTGGCTCGATTCTACTCTGGATAATTCCCCCCCCTTGACAAATTGCGGGCTACTAGGGCGGTGGAAGGACCGTTACGGCACGCACCGCCAGCTGATGGACCGCCAGTTGATGGACCACCACCCGCGGCATGACGAAGCCACGCAGCACGACCATATAAGAACCCCTTGCGGCCATTGGCCTGGGTCGACGAACCAAAAGCAGTCTAACAAGACATCCGCCAGCAGGCATGTCATAGTTAGAAGAGCACGCGAACACGACGATGTCCGCCACTCAATCAGCAAGAGCCAGCGGGGCCATGACCCAAGGCAGAAGCGGACGCCGAAGGTCACCATTGTGGGTGCCTGTTCTGGTTTGCCCCACTAGCTCTCGTGAACTACCTAGCTCTGGTCTGGTCCGCGGCCGCTACCGTCCTTGGTTCGTATACAGTCCTCAAAAACAGTCCGCCAAGGCATAACAGAACGTGAAGCATTTTGGGGGTGAGTTTGGTCAAAAATTTATGAGGTGTGCCAGTGCAGAGTCGAGTCGCTTTCCGGGAGGTGTTGGAGCGGTTGTGGCGGTGAGTGACATTATCTCTGGTGTGGGTTCCGGTGTGCCAGAGGAGATGATCGAAGGGGAGGAATTTAAGACGCGGTGTAGCAACATGAAGGATGCGATTGAGTCGCTACGAGTGAAAGAGAATGTGAAGGAGGCTGATGACGAAATCTCGTTTATGACGGTGGCATGGATGACTAACCCGTGGAGCAGCTCCCGTCGAGAGGATTGGTTGAATGATGCATTCGGACAATTTCCGTTGAGGAATAGGAGGAAGTCAGACTACTTTGTTGGTGCTGACAAGGTCGAGCCACAGGGCTTTATGGAACTGTGGATGCCGTGGGCGTGGGAAACCAAGGACAATTTCAAGCTGATGACCTCAACTGCGTATTATGGGATACAGAACGCCAGTGCCGACGTTCAGTTGGAAGATGGCACAGTCGTAGCTCTCAAACCCTACAATTCCATTAGTAACGGGGGTAAGACGGTTCGGCACAAGGCGTGGCGAAGTCACAAAGGGTTGGCTTGGCGAGTGACCTCCCCCAGCGGCACACAGTATCATTCGAGCGCGCGGCGGAAGCGGACGAAGACTCCGAAACTGCCTCCTCAGAATCCGCCCAGTGGGCACTTCCGTCTGGTGCCTGTGAAAGTTCACAGGTGTCAGCGACTGTTTCAAATTCTGGGCCCGTACAGATTCAAACAGTTGGTAGACCGGTTCCTACTACTCTGCGTCGACTTCGGAAGATGTTCCGGAGTTTTAGACGACGGACGCAAGTTCGACCTCATCCCAACTAAAAAAGGCTTCCTGTGGCAGATAGATGGAAACGTTATACATCCTCATAGTGCTGCTGCACAGTCATAGTGCTGCATAATCATGCATGCCCCCCAACCTTCTCTGTCTGGCCAAGCTGTTATGGATGGCCCCGCAGTCAAGGTTTGCAGTCAAGGTTGTTTTTTTAAAGCATTTAAAGGCAGAAACGAAAGTGCCCGCCGATGATATCTTCAACTCACAAAAGTCCCCGTTCCAGCATCCGGTGGCTAACCACTGCTCCATTATGGACAGTTAATGTGAGGGTTAGTTGACTCGAACGAGAGGGGAGGGGGAGAGGTACAAATGCCGGTGATGCCGATTACAATATTAGTAATTACTGCCAGAGCAAGGATCGGGAGCGATCACCTCTGCGTCACATTATTTAGGGTGGTGCTGAGTCGTGGAGTTTCGTCGCAGGCACGTCACGATTCGGACGATGAAGAACCGGTCGGTTCTGTGCAGCACCGCTGCCGCTTAACAGAACTCTTGAAGGAAGCGGTGGATCCGGCGCCCGAGATGGTATTTGAGATAAGGGAAAACGAGGACCTAGCAGCGGCCTCCCTGCCGGAGAAGAACGTTAAGTTCAGAGAAGAATACTGCAAGACGTATCTTGACCTCGTCCAAGAGTGCGGAACTTCTGGGAGTGTGGTTGCTACCTTTGCTGGTCGACTGGGGAACAGAGAACGCCGAACGCGGTGTTGGATGTAGTGGAGCCAACCACCACAGCAGTTCAATTGGAGGATGGCGCTGTCGTGGCTGTGAAGCCCTACCGCCAGCGAGGCCAACGCTGGTCGCTGAAGATATCTGACCACTGTGGACACCGTGGCCTGGTGTCAGTGCGGCTGGACGAGTTGGAATGGTTGCATGTCCTTCTGAGCGCGTGCAGGTTCGAGCAGTTCGTAGGCTTTATCGACCACGGGTTTTTGGGGGTCCTTGACGACGAACGCACTTTCAAACTTATCCACGGCAGATAGGTAGAATCAAGTGCCTGTTACCGTGTTTTCGCGTGTGACATGTAGCCGACCGTTTTTTCGGTGCTGTTTGGATAGATGCTCTACATCGGTTCGATTTTCATCAGTGCTGCTTTCATCTCGATCTTGGTCATCTCATAAATGGTGGCTAAACAAATGAAATGTATCAAGGGAAGGGCTCGACATACGGTCACGATGGAACTTACGATACCCGTCCATTATTAGTCTTTGGCAGTGATTTGAAATATTGTCGAATAGCGCTTGCTGTTCAGGTGTTAAAAGCTCTCGTTTTCTGAAGCCTTTCTGGCGCTGTGCCTGTGCAGGACGTATCTTTCGAATTAGATCAGTGGGAGTTTGAGATTCGTTATCTAGAAGAGTATGCAGAGCACGTAGTGACTCGCTCTTGCTACCTGACACCAATTGTTTCTGCTCTTGCCTTTCGGCCTCCCTCTGTTTAGCGTTCAGCAACTTCTCGATCTTAGCAGAGTCCAGCTGCTCGTCAGCTAGCTCGCGCAGCCAAGGATCTCTCTCCTTCGCCTCCTTGTCCCGTTCCTCCAATTCTTCTCCAAGGTCCCATTCCTCTCCGGGGGCCCGAACCCTCTCCGAGTCCGGGTCCTTCTCCGAGTCCGGATCCCTCTCCGAGTCCGGATCCCTCTCCGAGTCCGGATCCCCCTCCCGTTCCCCCTGCGGGTCCCCTTCCTCGTCTGAAGCCCCATCAGCGTCACTTCCTGCCGACAGTTCAGCAAGCCTTTCGTCCCGCCGGAATGCGTCCCGTCGGAATGCGTCCCGTCGGAATGCGTCCCGTCGGAATCGCTCCTGGAAAGATCTGTTGTGCGACAAAAGACCCTGGTCGTAAGAATTCCCGTCCTTTGGACCATCATTGAGTAGCGGTCGTTTCCTTGGCCCAACTTGCGCGTTGCTCCTCCCACTGGTGCTCTGATTCCTCGCTCCGTCGGACGAACTTCTTGCAAGCAAGCCACCGGCCGACAAATAGGGGCTTGGCAAGCCACCGTCTGGTGAGCCGTCGTTGTCGCTGGCCATGTCTACGACGTCCTGTCGAAGCTTCGCCGCCCGCTGGCGCCTCAGCTGCTTCACCTGCCGAATGTAACCGGGGTCGTCCATTGTTTCCCCAAAAAAGGAGTGGACCTCATTCTGTTGACTTCATTCGGTTGGGTCTCATAGGCCCGGGCCTGCTAGGTTCTGGCCTCGGTCCTGGCTGCCTGGTCTTTGGCTGCCTGGGTTTTCGCTGTTTGGTTGGGCCTGACTAACATTTATGGAGCGGGTCGAATGCCTGCCGGGTTTCCAATTCATGGACACACAGCTTATAAGTACTTACCACAGCCGCCGTGCCCGCGGAAGAGCCGCCGGCAGAAGACAAGGAAGACGCCGTAGACGGCCGGGAAACTGGGTAGTTTACTTCGTTCGGATCGAGCTTAGTGCGCGACGTCTTTGTTCCGGGCTCAAGCCTTACGGACGGCCCTTTTCTGAATACGTCGGCAACTGACAAATCAATTTGTCTACTGTCACTTTGGTCTGACGCTGCAGACGAAGTGCGGAAGTCACTCCCGTACCCACTGGACGAGGAGCTGCAGTCATCGTCACTAATGTCCGGTAGCCTCATTCCATTGGGCAGAGGGACGTTGCTGCAGGCTCCGGGCAACGGGACGTTGTTGCAAGCTCCGGGACCATCCAAACTACAGAAAATTGTCTTACCATCATCCAAGCACTGACTGCTGCACTGACTGCTGGATGAGTTATTAACTATACTACTTACTCGACAAACTTGGATCCCCTCCTCTGGCTTCCTGTCTTGAACTGGCTTTCGCTCTTGAATTGACTCGCTTTCTTGAACTGACTTTCGCTCTTGAACTGACTCTCGCTCTTGAACTGATCTTCGCTCTTGAACTGACCTTCGCTCTTCAAGTGGCTCGTGCTCTACGATATTACTAAAGCGGACACGTGAAGGGTCCATCGACAAACGACGGGTCCTACCTGTAACAGACCTCAAAGAGGAGCGCCCGAGCAAGTCTCCGGAGCTGGCTGAGTTCTTGTTACTCAACAGGCACCACCCGTCTGAGGTAGCCGGACTTGTGATTTCCAGACTTTCTGAGGGTGGACGAGCCGCTTGCGGCCTCGTCGAATGTCCGATTGTCGCACCGTGGAATATCTGGGGCGACCTACGGGCTACATGTGCTTGACTACGGAAGTGCTTATCGAGCTGGAGCGGGGAGAGGGGCCAGTCAAGCTCTTCGACAGTTCTCGACAGAGAGGAGGAAGAATACTGATTCTTTGGGGCGTGCGCAGCGGCCGGCATCGAGGCCCTGCGGTCTCGGGGGTGGGATATCTCGCTGCGGTCGCTGGCGGGAACGTCGCCGGGCGGCTTGTAGCGGGCATATGGACCTGGAGAACAAGTCCCCGCCACGTCAACCCCCAGTATCTTCCTCGTTAACATTTTCGTCTCCCGGAAGACCTTCTTTCCTCGCAACTCAATGGGTACCGACGCGTATTCTGCCGGCAGTCGCTGGACCAACAAATCGTGCCAAAGCTTCTCCAGCTGGTCCAAGTTTATCACCAATTTGCGGCCTGCTTCCTGAGCTGTTCTGTTTCTCGAGGCGCGCCCCATGGACCCTTCGTGCCGCGAAACGGAGCTAGAACCCCACAACAGGCGGTTGCTTAGCAAGCTGTGGTGCACTGGCCGAGCGGCGACATGTAGCGCACTCATGTCCGTATTTGCCGCACACGTGTTTGAGAGCGCGCTTTTCGGTGCACTGCTGGAATCGGCTGCGATTACGTGGTCCTGGAAGAGCGTGGGGTGTTGGAAGTGGGAAGCATCTTCTGCGCCGCCCTGGGTAGGCTCGTAGTGCCAGAGTAGTTCAGAGTCAGATCTGATGCCAGGGGAGACGTTGATCTCGTAGCAGCAGCTCAAATAATCACGAAATAGCAAGCGGCTGACGCAGCACGAGGTGACTCTCCACATATTAAAATGTGCACCATCCCATGTTCGGGTGGACGAACAAAGTTGTCCTGAATGTCCCCGTGATCAGTTTGCTCGTCGTCATCATTTACATAGGCTGCGGCTATGTAATGGTAAGGTCAACTTCCCCTCGTGTTTCTATGCCCACTACCTACCCATCCGCTACGACTATCTTTCGCGGGTTTACTCACATGTGGGGAGCTTTTCATAGTGCACCCCTTTCATGATTTTGCCCTATAAGTTGCATGGTTTGCCCTTGTAGACCCATATCTTTCGTTTGCTCCAAACAGACCGGCCAGCTGGTCCGAAAATTCTGCGTTGGGAGAAGCGTGGTTATTGGCATCTCGGCGTGTTCTCTGTATTGTCATTGCTCTTTCTATATTGCCTGACGCGAGCATTTTTGATGGACCCAGGACCCGTGCAACTGACGGCAAGCGGCAAGGTGGTTGAGACAGAGTTGAAGGAGTCCAAGAAGAGTGGCAGCGTCCGTTTTTGCAAGTGGTGCCACAGAATCAAACCTGATCGGGCACACCATTGCAGCCGCTGTAAAAAGTGTGTGCTTCGGATGGACCACCATTGTCCCTGGATCAACAACTGTGTTGGCCATTCTAATTACAAGTATTTCTTCTTGGCCATATTATACGGCTTCCTGGATTGTGTTTGGGTGGGAATTAGCTCTACGGATACCCTCATCTTTTACCATCGTGCTCAGACCGGAGTATTGCGGCTCTCCCGAATTTGGATGTTCACCGCCATGTATTTTCTTGACTGTGTCATGGGCTGTCTCCTCTCCTTCTATCTCACCTTTCTACTCATCAACGCCGGACACAATCAGACCACGCTCGAGTTCTGCGAAAAGAGCTCTAAAGCACGTATCGGCTCGTCCGTTAACTGGGATGTAGGCTGGTACCGCAACCTCCAACAAGTCCTCGGACCCACACCTCTCGTCTGGCTACT